AGGCAATGTTCCCTCTAATTTTTTTTCAGTGTGAGCAGAAAAGTATAGTGTTTGAGCGGCATATTTTCATGCCTGAGCACCTGATTTTTTTTCACATATGTCACCTAAGACAACAACAAAATCAGTATTATTTGAAACTCAAAGTTATGTTTATTCAAGGTACCTGCTTAATTAAAAGTGTTATATAATATCAGTATCACTTAACAACAGTCCTGCTTAGCAACCAAAATGTTGGCTCAGAAACATTTGAAGCACGCAAGTCTTAAAGCTGTCACAGTTGAAGACCCCTGGGATTTTTTTTCCCTAAAGGGTTAGGGGTGCAAGGGTCTTGTAACTTAACACTTGCGTGCTTCAAATGCCAGACTGTCTGAGCCAACATTTTGGTTGCTAAGCAGGACTGTTGTTAAGTGATACTGATATTATATAACACTTTTAATTAAGCGGGTACCTTGAATAAACATAACTTTGAGTTTCAAATAATACTGATTTTGTTGTTGTCTTAGGTGACATATGTGAAAAAAATTCAGGTGCTCAGGCATGAAAATATGCCGCTCAAACACTATATACTTTTCTGCTCACACTGAAAAAAAATTAGAGGGAACATTGACCTGCACACGCCCTGTTTTCAGCCTCCGCCTGCCCCGTTTTCGGCCTCTGCACAACCCATTTTCCGCCTGTTCTGAGTGGCGGGGATCGGAATGGGTAGAAAATGGGGTGCGCGGAGGCAGAAAGTGGGGCCCATATCTTCTGTTAAAGGGATACATGGAAATAGCTTCAGGTGAACTTTTTGGAAAGGCTCATCTGATAGAAAAAAAGAAAGAATTCAGTGAAAATTGAATTTAAAAAATTAAAATCTTTTGTGAAAAAAAGAAAACCTAAATGGTAGAAGAGTTTCTTCTTCATTGAGTGGTGTGATAAGAGGGATTCCAATAGCAAACATTTCCTTGTCTTCCTAACAGCCTGACTCCTAGGCAAGGAAGGCCCCTACCCTAATGTCCTCTCAGAGGCTAGTAAAAACCTGACTTTTCTATAATGTGTTTGGAGATAGGCTTATATACATTTGTTGTTTTATATGTACATACAGTACAATATTTAGTTTTAATAATTTGACATCATCCTAAATATCAACTTGGACTGAGGCTATGAATAAATTGCATACCTAAATTAAAGTTGGAACAAGAAGAATAAAAATAATACTTTGCAGTTGGTGGTGGTTTAGTAATTTAGTGGTCGTTTAGTGAATGTAGGCTTCATGGACAAATTAACCCAGGTGTGATTCTTGGCATTTTCAGGTAGAGTTGAAAGAAACTCTTGATTGGGCCACCTAGAATTCCTCTCAACTATAATTGACATTATTGGGGTTAGGTGGAACTGTGGTCTGATTTTTTTTAGAAAATAGCTTCCTATGTCAGATATGTAATAGCGTCACAATTTTTTATATACTGTTTTTTTTGTAAATAGTGTACATGAAAGTGTTACTTCTATTCTCTGCCCTAGAGACCATTTAATTCATCTGAAATGTAAATGAAAAGATTACTTGTTTGTGCAGAAATAACTTTTCATGTCATTGCAAACAACTTAAGTAAAAACTGGAATACATTTTGTCTAAAAATAATCTCTTAAATTTCTTAAAAGCATAGGGAATTTTATAATCCCATCGAATGTTTCTGTTCATGTTTTATCTCTTTCTCAGTGGAAAATTGCACAGTAGGAGCAACTTCCTTTTGAGGCTAGTTTGGTGCAAACAGATCAGAGTAGGCAATTCTTGTCATTTCTGTTGGAGGAAGTTATTAAAAACCAGACTGGCATTTTCATGGAGAGATAATGTCCAATTGGATTAGGAAAGGCTACATTTCTGTTCTAACTCAACAGTATACTAAAATATCCTAGAAATAACCACTATTTTTTTTAACAGAGGAGTAAAAGACGTATTAAAGAAGAGGCTGAAAAATTACTATAAGAAAGAAAAATTAATGCACAAGCAACCTCCAAATGCAGAAGACTATTACAATTATATCTGTGTTATTGATTTTGAAGCAACTTGTGAAGAAAAAAATCAGCCTGAATTTACACATGAAATAATCGAATTTCCTATTGTTTTACTAAATACACAGACGTTACAAATAGTAAGTATTCCTGTCCTCCCTAATTACTAGATAGTTTAATAAATTCATGAGAAATTGAGTTTTTCATTTTGAAAACTGATAGGCAATCAAAGGTATTATGTTGCCTTGTGTGCATTCTGATCAACAAATTAGGCAGTTTATGACTCTGACTGCCATAACCATTTTTAGACCTTAAGTTATATCCATAAGAAAATAATTATATATATATATATATGCTGCTTAATGTACAGGCATTTTGTGTAAGAAAAAATCCCTTCGCTTTTCTCTTGCTAAATGGAACAAGCATAACAGAAGTAAATACACGGCTAGATTCCCACAAGTAGACAGTTTGAGAAAAGGAAAATGACTGAATAGAATAGTCCAAATGCCCTTCTCTGCTACTCTTCTGCTCTAAATGATGCCATCCTGAGGCTCCTTTTCAATTTGTTTTTAAAATGTTGATTCTAATATTCTGCAGGCAATTAACACGGATGCAGTTGCATATCATGGTAAGCCATAAAGCTTAGCTTAAATGCACATGCTCCTACTCATTAGTTTTCTGCTATGGAGTGCCCCATCATTTGTTGTTTAGAATTAATCATGTTTCAATATGGGCTACATTCCTAGCAGGATAAATTGAAAAAACAGGAAAGGTATGTGGCTTATGGCTATGTTCTCTGATTTGTTTTGGCTGAAAAGAACATAGTCTGCATCCTGTATTCACACAACATGTAATAATAAAAAAGGCATCAATACATGGTTCAGTGGCTATGCTGGCTTGAGTAAGGATTCATCAATTGTGGGTATGACGTGGAATCACAGGTGTATTCCTATCACATCAGATGGGGCTTTCTGTATTTCTTGGTTATCTTCTCATAGCTGTCCAAATACAGTGCCCCTAATATACTTTGACAAGTGTATAATGATTGTATATCGTGCCTTATGGGCTTCTCTGTGTTATAACTCTTGGTACTCTTTGTGAACCTGAAACTGAAGTGGGAGTTGTAAGAAAGCCCTTAACCATAGCAGCGGGAGCAGCAGAATATCCTACCTAAAGCACAAGTATGGTACTGCGGTATTTGTTGCTAAGATTCAACTAATCATTATTGTTGTTGTTGTTATAAACTTATTTATTAAACATGAAACTCAATCAACTGAACATTTAAAAATGTGTCATAAATATCATTGACTGGCTCTGATAGTTGATACGGGTTGCTGCCAGTGTCCTAGGTATCAATCCAGTACCTTTTTAAGATGCACAATGTTCCGAGTAGTTAGCATAGTTTGCAGTTCCACTGGTGTTATTGCAGGAAGCTGCAATTTCTTGATGTGTATCACTGGTTGTTGTTGTTATATTGTTATGTTTGACTGGTGGTTATTCCTTTGGATTAATGAGCTATGTAAGGAGCAGATCTGTGTTTTGTCTGTATCATCATGAAATGACCTATGTTTAACTTCAATTTTGTAGGAAGACACTTTCCAGCAATATGTGAAACCAGAGATTAATCCTCAACTCTCAGATTTCTGCATTAATTTGACGGGAATCTCTCAGGTAAATAGTCTGTCAGACTACACTCATTAAGCAAAACCTTTTAAAAAGATAAACGTTTAGGCATTAGATATACTCCTAATACCTGGCTGCAAGCACAGCATGTAAATGAGGTGTGCTCAGATTTAAGCTTTCAGATTTCTCTTTTTCTTTACAAATGCATTTATTTTAAATCAGTACCATGGGCTGTAAGTAAAGTGATTGTGATAAAGAAATGTATAACTATTCTATAGATTAGAATTCTGAGTTTCTCTGAACAATTTGAGCAAAACTGAACACACCTCACCATTTCTAACACCATACTGGTAGCAATCACTATGCCTGATTTGGCTGAGTCAGAGGCAAAATCTAATGTCCAGTCAGTGCTCTATGCACTTGGACAGCTTGCTTGTACAATCAGTAATGTGAATTGTTCAAATGGTACATGTATTGATTAGAAGAGGATACTATACATAGAGTCCTTGACTTAACAGTTCATTTAGTGATTGTTTGTGTTACAATGGCATTGAACAAAAATGACATGACCATTTTTCACACTTATGACTGTTGCAGCATCCCCATGGCCATGCAATCAAAATTCAGAGACTGGGCAACTGACTCATGTTTATGAAGGTTGCAGTGTCCTGGGAGCATGTGATCATCTTTTACAACCTTTTGATAGGCAAAATCAATGGGGAAGTCAGATTCATTTAACAAACATGGTACTAGCTTAACAAAGATTCACTGTAGTGATTCACTTAACTGCGACAAAAAGGTCATACAATGGGGTAAACTCACTTAGCAACTTTTTCAACAGAAATTTTGGGCTCAACTGTGGTCATAAGCCAAGGACTGTATGTAATTCTTATGAGAGTTCTACAGTAGTGGTCAAAATTGTGGAAACCTTTGGGGAAAAGAGTATTTTCTACTATTTTCTACTCAACTAATAACACCACTTTTTTTAGTAGTACCATAAAATTATATATCACTGGAAAGATAATTTAATGAAGAATGTAATGCAATAACTTTTATGAAGGATTTGCTATTAGAATAGAAGTTATAGTATAAAGAAGAAAAGTGAAACATGTAGAAAAAATGAGATGTACAAAAATTATCACATCAGTTAATACTTTTACAGTTAATACTGGGTAACCTTTAGCATGAATTATGGCATTACAACATCTTCCCATGGAGTGAACCAAGTATTTTAGTTCTGCAGCTGTTCTAATGTGAAACCAAGATTGAATGATTGCTTCTATTAACTGGGTTTTATTGCTGGGTCGCTTCTGACTAACCATTTTCTTTAGTCGGCCTATAGATTTTCAGTTGGGTTAAGGTCTGGGCTATTCTCAGGCCGTTCCAGCAGTGTAATATGATTATCTTGAAACTCCCCCCAAAAAGTGGTATTAGCCATCAGACCTCAAAAAATACACTTTTCCCAAAAGATTTTCACAATTTTGGCCACTACTGTATCTTGATGACCACTTTATTGATTCCTTAGGGCCAGTTGCAGGAATAATAGCAATAGTACTTAGACTTATATACCACTTCACAATGCTTTACAGCCTTATCTAAGTGGTTTACAGAGTCAGCATATTGCTCCCAACAATCTGAGTCTGACCTCGGAAGGATGGAAGGCTGAATCAACCTTGAGCTCTCAGAATTGAACTCTTGGTGTGAGTAATGAGTTAGACCTGCAGTACTGCATTCTAACCACTGTGCCACCACGGCTCTAATGCAAAGACTGCTTGGGGTAATTTACCTAGTTACATTCTTAGTAACTTAGTAAGTTACAAGCACCAGAAAAATGTACATGTATACATTTTGGTTTGTAATGGTTTGTTCGATATTAATCTGATATAGAGCAATAGACATTTTAGATGCTTTTGAGATAAAGACCCTTAATATTGATGTTAACTTGCTACTGCTTAAAGCCTTAGTTCTTTTCTTATACATTACAGTTAGGCTCTGTGGAGCAAAAAAAAAAAAAAGTCTTTTCTACCATAAATTGCAATTTTCTTCCAGTTTCCCAAGCTGAGAAGGGATGGAAGAAGAGAAAAGAATAACCAGGATGGTTGACAGGCTGCAGGATTTTTGAAAATACAACTTGCAAGAGTTGGATCTAGGAGATCCTTCCCTCCTGCCCCCCCCCCCTCAGCCATTAAAGAATATTAACATAATGCAGATACTTCAGTAGTTATAACGAAGTTTTCTCACTGAATATAATAAGAATGTATATAGGATATTTGGTTGCATTAATCGTTATTGTAGAAAACCAAAGAGAGTATAGTAGATTTTTAATAATATGACTTGACAGAAGCCCTCTTTATATTATTCTCACATTGTATAATTAATATTTGAGTTTCTTAATATACAGTAATTGTATTTTCATTCATAATATTTCTAGGAGCTGGTAGAGAAGGCTGATGAATTCCCAAAAGTGCTGCAATGTGTTGTAGACTGGATGAAACAGAAAGAACTAGGAAGCAAATACAGCTATTGCATATTAACAGATGGGTATGTGTTAGGGAGAGATATACATATATTCAGTTGATGAATCATACTTACTTTTTAATTGCAATTATTGAATTATGTCAGTGTTCTTAAAACCATACTTTAGTTTTGACAGAATTGTATCTCTGGAATTGTTCAGTTTAGTTGTATTTGCAACAATAAGCTAAATAGGATACTGTGACTGAAATGTCAGATCCCCTTGGATGTTTTCCCTACTTACTGTACCACATGATTAGAAGAAATATTTTCTATTCTGAAAAGGTTATAGCAAAGGTACTTTGATTAAAATCCAGCGTGTAGTAGATTACAACTTGTTGAATTCAAGAAAAGTAATCTGCATAGGTAACTCATTAACATTCATAAATGAGCATTGAAGTCAGCTGTTTTTATTAAGTGCCTATACATGAGCAGGGGATTATAAATATGCTAACTTTCTCTTTGACAAAGATAGTTGAAGAATGCCATTTGCAGAACCTTAAAAGGGAGTACATTCATATATCTGTTGATTATTTAATGTTTGGGACATATCTTTTACATTTTAATAAAAAATATCATTAGTAATAAGACAATAATAAACTACAAAATCATAGTACAATTGTACAAATTAATGAATTACAAAACTAATGAAAAATATAATCAATAAAATGTCAGAAAAAAAATCAACAGCATTGAATAATACAATATTTCCCTAAGAAAATTTAGGCAAATAAAATTCTTAGTGCATATTTGAGCCACTGAAAGAGGAATTTAACAGTAGGTGTTGCCAGAAATAAAACTGGTGGTCTGTTTAGGGACTCTTTAAAAAAAGATTTACAAATTGTCCCAGAAAAATTGGGGAAATAATCAAACAAATATCCAAATAATTTGCAAAAGAAGCTTAAAAGAGCCTCCTGATGAAAAGCTAAATTGGCATCCTTAAAATATTGTGATTTATTTGTTTGCTTCTTTGTTAAAGGTCCTGGGATATGAGTAAATTTTTAAATATCCAGTGTCGTATTAGTCGTCTGAAGTATCCTTCATTTGCTAAGAAGTGGATTAATATCCGCAAATCCTATGGAAACTTCTACAAGGTTTGTTGTCTCCTTGTTTCCTGAAGCATTCAGATTCTAGTTGAGAAAAGTAGAAATTTAGAAATAGAGTTATAATAATTGGCAGTAATGAATTTATCTATGTGCTGCGGCTAGGACAGCAATGGCAAATCTTTGGGGCTTGGCATGTCAAAAACTCAGAAAATACAAGTTCATTCTGATGGCATGTCACATACATACACATTGGAGAGGAAAGAGAAACAATTTTCTATTCCCCACCCACCTCACATCTTGAGCATTGGCACTTGGCAGCAGTGCTAAGGCTGGGCCTGGAGTCATGGTCTGACCTCGGCTTCAGCCCTAACTTATGTTGTCGCTGAAAAAGGCCACTTTGCACCATTCCAATTCCTCAGCTTCCCAAAATTGTGCTTTTGAAAGTAGTTTTTGAATGTTGGTAAATGCTGGTGTGTTACCAAAAACTTCGTGATGTGTCAGATTTGTCACACATGTTACAGGTTTATCATCACTGAGCTAGGAGAACTATATAAAGTTTGGGCTAACGATTGCCCCTACTGAGATCTGTATGACAGATAGGATATAAATGGAGTTTTATACTGCCATTCAATAGCCCTTCTGCAACCCCTAAATGAGATGGAAAAGGGATGCCTTCTTTTTTATAGTTTTGGATCCATTTTAAGCAGGGAAATGGATGCCTTAAGTATCCCTCTGATTCTGGTGATGTCCATAGATCACTCCTGTAACTTTAAAATACAGACAATTCTCACTGATCACACTTGGGACAGCAACACCATCACTAAATGGTTATTAAATGAAATGTCACGTAATTATGTGGAACTTTTGATGTCAGTTCCACTACAATTATTAAGTGAATCAGATCTTAAGGACTTCCACAGGTCCCTAAGCGCAATATCATGTGACTGTGATTTATGATTTCCTGCTGACTTTTCTATTGACTTTGCTTGTCTGAAGCCAGTTACGAAGATCCCAAATGGAAATTGCTTGACTGTGGGACGCTGTGACCATCGTAAATGGTTGTGACCTGCTTGAATTGTGATCATGTGAATGTGGGGACACTGCACTGGCTACAACCTACCGCACTGGTCATAAGTATCCTCTTTCAGTGCTGTTGTAACTTCAAAGTCGGTTAAGTGAGGACTATATATTGAAGAAGACCATGTAGATTTTATTAGGAGCACAAATACCCTGCCTACCTCTGCTAGATACTGCACTTATGAAACTCAGAATCTGAATGTTGCCTTTTGTTGCCCATTCCTCATTTTTGTACAACTGCAGCAACTGGAACAACAGACCTACAAACATTCTTTGGAGCAATAGGCATTATTTGAAATGTGAGAACGAGTCCTATGTGCTCTTATAACATGGGCACCTTGAAGGACGTGGTCTGTTGTAAAAGATCCCTTTGCTGAAGGAAAACTGGTTCTCTTGCTCTCCACTATCCTTCCCAGTATTCCCCTCCAGGGTATGCTCTTAATTCTCCAGCTTTACCCTTTTTGATCTTCTTTGGTGCAAGTGAACATATTTTCAAATAAAACACCCATTTCTGTTTTCTAAGAATGCCTAAATACCTAGGTTATCACAGAGACATTCTCAGAAAAAAAAGGGAAATGGTTTGGTATGCCAAATATTGTCCTTTTATTTATTTAAATTAAATCAGTTTACTTTAAAATTTCACCCCTTCATGTAGGAAATCTGCTGGACTTCAGAGCATAGCTGGAATATGCAAAAGCCCACTGCCATCTCACACATGCGTGGACAGGGGTAGAATTTAGAGCAGCTAGTACTATATTTTTGGCGTATAAGATGCACCAAGATTTTGAAGAGGCAAATTTTTAAAAAAAACATTTTTGCACTCTGCAGACCTCCCAAAAATGGCCAGTTTTTTGTGAAAATGGACTTGTGTTTTTTCAAAAAAGGGGATGCATAGCTTTTAGGAGGCTTATAGAGTACTCCTGGGGCAGGGGGGGCAAAATTGAGCAAACAAAATGGCCCGTTTTTCACTCATTTCTGCCCTCTACAGCCCCCAGGAGCACTCTGAAAGCCTAAAGGCTATGCATGGCCATTTTGTGATGGGGTGGAGTTGCAGGAGGCAAAAAATGCTGTATTCAGTGTATAAGATGCACTCAGATTTTCAGCCTCTTTTTTGAGGGAAAAAGGTGTGTCCTACTCCAAAAATATGGTTATTGTTCTGACTCAGCCTTAGCAGAACCAAGAAACAGACTCCTTGTCCTGAAAACCTCCTTTTTATTTAGATCCTGTGAATTACTGCCATTCACACACTGAAAAGTCCAGGCAATAATCCTTCAAAGACTTAATTGCAGTAACAGGCCTTATCAGTTTCTTGAGATAATTGCCAGGCTGGGAGCTTCCAGTTGCAAAGCTGCAAATTAAGTTCTGGCAAGCAGTCTCTGAGGCACGAACCAGGATAAGCAAATCTTGCAAAATAAATCCAAACGCTCCTCCTGCAACAACCCCTCCCCTTTCCTCCTATTTATTCTCCAGCCAGGGAGGGGCCATTCAGCATCCATGTGTGCCTTTCTCCCTGAGTCGGCACCTTGTCCTCAGTTGTTCTCTCCTCCTAACAGCTGGAACAGGCCCCAGCTATTCGTCCTCCCCACTTATTTCTGACTCCAAACGCAGCTGGGAAATGTTGGACTTCCCTGGCTCTATCTCTGCTTTTGATGCAGAGCCCTCATCAGAGCCTTCCCCAGACTCCAAGACTGGTCCAAGTTCCTCCTCCAACCTTCTCATCATCCGAGTATGCCGTCAACTCCGCTGGCAGCAGGCAGGCCACAACAGTAATGATTCAATTCATTTTCCAGGTTCCTAGATGCCAAACAAAGCTGTCAACCATGTTGGAAAAACTTGGGATGGACTATGATGGACGGCCTCACAGTGGGCTGGATGATTCCAAGAACATTGCACGAATAGCCATTCGAATGCTTCAGGATGGATGTGAACTCCGTGTAAATGAGAGAATGCACGGCGGGCATCTGCTAGCAGTCCCTTCCTCGACTCCAATAGAGGGCGCTCCAATCCCACAGATGCCCAGGTTTCGATAAATATTAGAAAGTGAGTTACCCTGTCTTTCAGGCCCATATTCTTGGTATTCAAAAGCCATTTCAGAGAGTTGAGTTTTTAAAGGGGGCTCTATCCCCAGTTTAATCCCTTGCAGAAATATACAGATCACAGAGCACCCACTGAAAGTCTCTCTTAATTTAACACTCTAAATTAGTCACGCTAAGTTTCATTTTAGTTATTCAAGAAATTTATGCACGTATTAAAATGGTTTTCTTTGAAATAAAGTCAAACCAAAGTGTAACATTTGATCTGCAGATATAACAACACTAATAAGATGTTTAACATAGTTGAATACCATGGGGAATGCATCTTTGCTGATCTTTTCTTTTACTGTTTAATGTACCAGAAAGATCTTTTTGATTTCATGTCACAATGACCAAATTGTTTCCTGGAATGTGTTGGTTTATCTGGGTTTGGTAAATTCTTCATAAAGGGGATTTGTTTTTTCAAGTTTGATCTTCCTTACACAGTTGATAGAAAATTCCAGTAGTAATACATTTTTTGATGTATGTATTGATGTTGAGAGACTTATTGAGCCAATATTAGTTACCTTTTAGCTTTATTAAATTCTGGTAGCAATTAAACATTTCATTACATTTCTATAAAAATAATGGAGATGTGTTTAACAAGGATTATTGTACTTTTTTCCTTCCATTGCATAACTTACTTTAATATCCTTCCCAAGCATTATTAAAAAAAAAACAGGGAAGCAAATTATTTCTATAATAATTTAAGCTTTGGCATGGATTTCATGCCAGTATTTCATTTATATAATCAAAAATAAACAAATCACTTCTCTGTAGATTATTATGCCAACCTTTGTTTTGACATTTCAACTTTTTTTTTTTTTTGAAAGACTTGCTTTAATAAATGCAATTTATGTTTTTAATGTCCCGAACCATTACATAGCATGGCACATTTTAATGTTAATTGCACAACTGTTACAGATTTCTAACTTCAAATTGGTTTGTTATATTTTGCCACTTTCGTGGGAATTCTGCGCAAATTGTTGCCTAGAATGTTCTGAGGGAATGGATGATTCATTCAAGTCGACTAGTGACTTCAGGTCTAAACAAGGATTCAAGCCCATCTTCAATCTATTATACCTCACAGTGGCTCTGTACAGTGTATAGTTTGGCACTGTATGCAGCATTGGTTTTCTCCTGAAAGCCCATTTTGTAAATATTATGCTTTCTTGTAATCTGTCCAGAGCAAAAGTGAATAATGATTTGAAATTACACTTTCTGCTGCAGCCTGCAATCTTAATATTCTTTTCTACTTTAACACTTTAAATCATGTGTAAAATCTTTTCTACATGTTTTGTTCATGGAATTGGGATGAATTTGAAATTGAAATTTGAAAGACTATGACTAGTTCACATCTTGTGATAAGTAAAAATAGGCTTGATCAATTTATGGACCAGTCAGTCCACATTGTTTATGACTCAGGTGAATCTAGGCTTTGGGGTGAATCTACTAAAACTATGTCATATGTTGTTATGGACACAGCTTAAGATTTTGTGCTAGGTCAACTTTTTTCCACTGCACAACTAGCCATTCATCTTCTGGACACTTTAAATATCAGCTTTTGGTATAAAAGTTTATATTCTTTTGAATACAGTTTGTATATTTTTACTTTAAAAAAGGTTTCAATCCACTGTAATCATTTGTATTTCAATTTAATGTGTTATATCTGTCCAATAAAGGTACTTTGTAATGTTATCCCTTAGCTCCTTTTCCCATTCAAAAATCGATTGTGGGAACAGATAGAAATTTTAGCTGGTTGTTGCAACTGGAGTTAAGACAGTGGACAACAAAGGACCATCTGTGGCTGATCTCCTTTGGGGTATGCATGTATGTTGATAAGGCTGCTGTGGGCCACAAGAAATAATTTATGAACATTTTAGTTACATAGTGCCAAGCAATCACAAATGGACATAATGCGGAGATTTCTCCACTGCAGAAGTCCTACTTATTGATAGATTTTTGAATTAATTAATTAACATGCTGCATTGCACACTGACCGACATTATCCAACCAAGCTTTGACCTAATTATTGCTGGATTAAAGAAAGATTAGTAAACTTAAATCAAATTAAACAGTAGTAAGTGTGTTTTGAGAACACACTTTTGAGAGCAATTGATTATCCAATCTGGGAAGTAGATCAATCTTTGGACTGATTCAGCAGGACTTGTCTTCCTGTTGTTGTTTTATAATCACCTTCAGAATTACGTGAGTTTACATTCTTGAATGAAGGATATGGTATTATGGTATTACTGGATGGAAACACCAAAGGAGAACAAGTCGAAACATTTCAAAGAATTCTGATATGGAAAGTCAGTAGAATAAGGCTAATTGCAAATGGAATCAGCTAGTTGGGTATATTATGGGAACATAGTTTTCAAAAAAAAAGTTTGTTCAAGAACACTCTTGTTTTATCTCTTCAATTTGTTACAACATCCTTATCTACGAACAGAATTCAGCCAAAGCTAAATAAGTCCCATTAATTTCAGCATTAGGACTGTTAAGCATACATTTAAATCTCCCAGAGGAACCAGTGGATGTAAAGATTTTAAAATTGAACTTAACTGTTAAGACATACTACAAACATTGAGCTAATGGGGAAATGTTTACATCATATCTCTATCAGTTTTGTACTGTTTATATGCACTGATTGGACCACCTTTAGATCCAGATGGGAATTTATATCTGGTGTGCCTCTGGATTATTTGATTTCGGGCCATTGTAAACCAGGCACTCAGCAATAGAATAAAAAAAAATTTCCCCAACCCAATAAAATAGAGCTTAAAAATAATATATTTAAAAAAGTAGAAATCATTTGAAAATAGTAAAAGGAAAACAATAAGCAATGTAAAATATCCAATTCTGATTAGTTGCTCACTTATAAATCTGTGGCACATCTTCAGTTGTTTTCTGAAAAAGGAAGCATGGGGAGAGGCTAGACAAACTTCACTTGGGAAAGAATTCCATAATTAGTGAGCTACCACTGAGAAGGCCCTATCGGTCATTGAACTCAAGCCACCAATGGGAAAACAAGTAATTTAATTGAATTTTGAATTTACTTTATTTGTATGCCACCCTTTTCCCTGAGGGGACTCAGGGCGGCTCACAATTCAAAGGAAGGGAACAAAACAAACAAAATTACAAAACATAAAGACCATACACAGCTAAAAAACACAACAATCATACCATTACTAATGCCTCTGCCCTGGATGTAGATGCAGAGATTGGGGTGATGCTGTGCAGGAATAGTAGAAGTAATACTTATAGTCATCCAGACTTTATAATCCCAAAGCAGCAACCACCACAAATATGTTGACTGGACGATAATGGGAATTGTAAAGAAAGTGACAAGAGAGAGCTACATCAGAAAATAGTGTTGCATAAATGAATAAAATGTCTTGGTTTATCAAGAAAGTTTAACATGAAACAAGATAGGGAATTCAATGATTAAAATGTTTCCATTTTTCAACTACAATACTATGGGTCTCTTAGGACAGTGCCCATATCCAATAGCTGTGGAGAAGCTAAATGATATATTACTGAGTGCATTTAACATGCAGATGACGGTAGATTCTTATTCAGTAGTCAGTGACCTACAATATATTCACCTTTCTATAATTATATTATTTCAGAAATAAGCGGTGAAACTAAGTATATCCCAAACCTGCATTTTCGAGTGTAGGAAGACATTTGGCCATTTTTATGTGTTGTCAGCAGTTCTGCTTGGGATTGTTGAAAAATTGCTTTTTAATATTAGTATATGCCCTTGTACAAGATATGAAAACAATAGATTATGTGTTGCTCTCTTGTTTGCTCCGTCTACTGGGATTTGCATAGAAAATGTTCTCACGCATACACTGGGTTTGGTGTTCCAGAACATTTGGTTGTGATATGTTCTGCCTCCTCTCAGACAAAATTAAATCTTTTGATGATAAAAGTAGCCAGGACTTTGGGGTCAGCTGTGAAGATTTCGGCTTGTTTATCTCCATCATTCTGGAACGTTTGTGGACGAAATAGTATGAGAACTCCTATGGGTGAAATAGTATGAGAACTCCTGAATTGGCTAACTTGGTATTATCATTAGTTAGCTTTGTAATTAATACACTTAACTATCCAAGATATCTAGGAGGTAATATTCTGAAATCAAGTTAGGGAAATAAATAGTGATGCCTGGATTTGTTCCAATGCAGAAAAAAAATACTAAGATGTGTAACAATTTTTGTTTCAAACTAAATTTTGGTTTGACCCTTCGAAAGTAAGAGTCCCTCATGGTCACCTTGGTCATGATCACTTCTTCATTAGAGTATTATAATAGCACTAGAAGGGTTGCCCTTGAAGACTTCTGTGAAACTACAGCTGGCCCACAGTGCACCAGTACAGGCAGTCATGGGCATGTTTCTGTAACCACATCTGTTCCTGCTGCTTCATGAACTGCACCCATTGCCAAGTGGTTTCCAGTGCAATTCAATGTGCTGGTTATCACTTACAATGCACTGTGTGGCAGAGGAGCTGGTTACTTGGGGGACTGTCTCTATTTCTGCTTGTCCAGTGAGGTCAGTTGGAATTGGTGCATTCCAAGTCCATCAGTTATGCAGTATTATCTTGAAGGATCTAGGAAGCAGGCCTTCTTGGTGATGGCTCCTGCCCTTTTTGATGATATCCCACTCTGGTGAGTTTTTTGCAGTCTGTTTAGATCCGGCTGTTCTCCCAGGTCTTAGGTTAGGATGGTGATTGAACCTCTTTATGTTTTTGTTTGTTTCTCTGATCTGTTTGCTATCTTCTGGCACATTTTTTTCTGATATGTTTGGTTTTCTTTTTAATTTTTTCATTTGTAAACTGCCCAGAGTTGCTATGGAATTGGATGGGCTCAAAACTGAAATAATCATAAATAAATGAAAATTAAAGAAAGATAGCTAAGGACCTAAGCATTTTTCATGTGAAAAAAAGGAGAGTTGTGGGCTCTCTAAAAGGTAAGGGATATTTTGAGACTGAAAAATGAAGGCTAAAGGTGATTGAGCTATTTCTCCCTTCCCTCGTACAATATTAGAGCGGTCCAATTAGTATTTGCTATCTCAAGCAGAACAATTGCTTGAGATACCAAAATCTCAGAAGGCTTCCTTTAGTGATTGGTGTAATAGACAGCCAGTTCCTCAATTGAGTGAGTCCATGTTCTTTAACCTGTACACTTCAACATTAATTCACTAACGGATTCTGCAGATAACACTCAGCACATCAACACAACATTGTTACAGTAACAACATCCACACTAGAGATCAGAATTTCTATCATATTTTTGCATTTTAGACCACAGCATCTTAATTTACTGTGGGGTGTTCCATGAGTTTCACGTGGTTCAGTTTCTATATATATAGTTTTTCATAATTTCTGGTAAAGTAAAATAATTCAGCTTAATATGCTGTCAAACACTTTTCCCTTTTCCTGTGCTTATCTAACATACTTCAGTCTGCTTCCTCCCATTGTATCAATTTCTGTTTGTTTCTACTGCATTGTTCAAGAGTTCTGATGAATTTTCCGAAGCAGAAAATATTCAAATTAATTTGCTTGGGGAACATTTCTCTCTAACCAAGAAGTTAATTAAATCTTACTCACGAAGGCATCTGTTTCTAACTAAGCCCAAATATGAAATATGCTTTGCAATATTGCAATACACTTCATTACCTCCACCTCCTTCCCTTTATTAAAAACATTTTCTTAAAAATTATACTTAGGGAGTTAATAAAATCTTTATAAAAAATGAGGGGGGGAAAGCACCCCACCCCCACCCCAAAAATACAAGCTAAAAAAGAAGGGTGAAAAACCTACCTTATACCTAGTGAATACATTAGTATAACATGATCATACAGTTCAGAGGTAGGCGTCACATAATGTAACAACCGGTTCGCCCAGAACCGAAAATGTGAGTGCACACCTTCCGCGCATGTGTGCGGCACCAAACACAGTGATTATATAGGGCGGGATAGGACCGGGGTGGGTGGGTGGGCCCAGCCACTGGTCAGAACTACCGGTTCACCTGAACCAGTCCAAACCAGCAGCAGCCCATCTCTGATACAGTATTATACTAATACAGTGATGGCTAACATTTTTGTTGTTGGGTACCAAAAATGCAAGGGCGCATGCGCGATAGCATGTGTGTGCCAGCATCCATAATGCAAAGCACGCTACCACATGCACATGTGTGCACAACCCCCTCCACCTCCCACGCGCACCGCACTACTCACTTCCAAGCTAGGCTTGGTATTTCCTTCGGGGTGGCCAGGGGAGGCCGTTTTTTCCCCCCCTTCAGGCTCCAGGAAAGCCTTCAGAGCCTGAGGAGAGTAAAAAACAGGCCCAACAGGCCAACTGGAAGTTCAGAAGCGATCCGTTTTCAGCTTCCAGAGGGCCTTCAGGGGACTGGGGATGGCTGTTTTTGCCCTCCCCAGGCTCCGGAGGCTTTCCTGGAGCCAGGGAGGGAGAAAATGGCCTCGCCCGGCCCTCCAGAAAGCCTAAAATCAGCTGGCCAGTGTGCACATGCACACTGGAGCTGACAGCTGGCATGCCAGCACATATGGCTCCGTGTGCTACCTCTGGCATGCACGCCATAGGTTCGCCATCACAGTACTAATATTCACTAAATATAAGGGTAGGTTTTTTCCTTCTTTTTAGTTTGTATTTTTCATTACAAAATATTGTAAAATACC